TTCTTTCCATTTTCACGACAACTGAAACACTAGAAGAGAAAATTACAAAAATGCCTATCAATTTCTTCAAATTCTTTCTCAAATCAACACATCAGGGTTGGGAATTCTTATCTATCTAGATAATGGAGGGCATAGATGACCTACAAGGCCCTCATATGGACAATAATTGTATGGAAGGTGCATTGTTGTAAGATGAGCAAGAAGGTAATTTTTTTATACTATTTTGTCGGAACATGCTTTCTTTCTTTATGGACATAAAGTAAAAAAAAATATATTTATCTAGTTGATTCTAAACTGGATGTTTTGAAACATTCAATGTTTTAATCGGATTCATTGAAACCCTACCCATTCCTTTGCCTTCAATACCTCAACACCAATATTTAAATGTAGCAATCCTTTAATCAGATTTAGACCGAATATTTATGTACCAAACATTAACACTAGTCTTTTTGCATTGTAGTGACGAACAATGAGAGTGAAGATTTGGTACTACTTGAGTGCCAATTAACTGATTCGGAGGATGATGTGGACGATGGTGGTTTTCATTATCAGAGAAATGCACCAAAAAGAGTTGTGGTTGGTCTGAATTTAGACCTTCAATTTGAAACAGCTGGTGAAGATGATGGCTCAGAACTGGATGATCCATATTATGCATATTCTGAGGAGGAGTTGCGTATTGATCATTCTTCAAGGGAGGAAAAATAATTATCATTTCACTACTTATGATACTGAGATGGAGAAGTTCAATCCACAACTACAGGTTGGAAAAGAATTCAAAGACTTAAAAGAGTTTAACAAAGCAGTTAGACATTATGGAGTTGTCACTAGACATAATTTAAAGTTCAATACGAATGATAAAAGGAGAGCAAAAGAAGTGTGCAAAAGAAAAAAAAGGATTGCAAGTAGAAGATTTGGATTTCATGGAATAAAAAGAAGGGTTGCATGCAAATTAAGACCTTCAATTCATAGCACACATGCATACGAGACAAAACAAATAGGTATTGCATAGCTAAGTATATTGCTGAGAAGTACTTACAGACTTTTAAGGTTGCCTTGATTGAAAGTCAAAACTCATTATTAAGGTTGTGAGAGATGACTTGAAATTACTAATCAACAGAGTTAATGCATGGCGAGTTAGAAGACACACGATGATATTGATTGAAGGATGTAATGAACACCAGTTTGGCCTACTTTGGTCTTTTCCTAATGAGACTTTGAGAAGCAATCCAGGATCCACATGTATAGTTACCATGCATTAGTCGAAGTTTCAAGGGATTTATATATGCTTAGAAACTTGCAAGAGAGCTTTTATGAGTGGTTGCAGGCAAATTTTAGGCTTAGATGGGTGTTTTTTGAAAGGAACTTTTGGCGGACAGATGCTTATTGCAGTGACACTACACGCCAATGATTGTATTTACCCAATAGCATACGCAATAATAGAGACTGAGGATGCTAGAAGTTGGAGACGATTAGTTAACCATTTGGGTGAAGATTTAAGGATTGTAAATAGTAATGAATGGACCTTTATGTCTGATAAGCAAAAGGGATTATAAAAGGTTATTGAGGACTTGTACCCTGGCGCTGAACATAGGTTTTGTGTGAGGCACATCTATACAAATTTTTTAGGGGTGATTTTAAGAGTTTGGCACTTAAAGGATACTTATGGAAAGTTGCAAAGTCAACTATTGTGCCTGATTGGAAGTTTTAAATGAATGAACTTGCGAATGAGAGTGTAGGTACATATAAGTGCTTAATTAAAAAGGATCCATGTGAATGGAGTAAGTCTCATTTCTCCACTAAGGTAAAGAGTGATACAGTGCTTAACAATTTATGTGAAGTTTTCAACAATGTAATGTTAGATGATAGGGAAAATCAATATTGACTATGTTAATTGACATGCATAGTTGTATGAAGAGGATACAATCAAGGAGAGATAAGATGAGAAGAGCCAGAGGACCATTGTGTCCTAAAATCCAACAAAAATTAGCTAAATCTATAGAAATAGCTGAGGAGTGCAAAGTAGAGTGGTCTGGGGGCCTACAGTTCTATGTGAAATGTCCTATTGGAGAATATGTGGTTGATTTGTCAAACAAGACATGTGTGTATAGGGATTGGATATGATGGGATTCCATGTGGGCATGGGGCTGCTGTTATACTAGATAGGGGAGATAATCCTACAAAATACGTGCATGAGTGCTATACAGTGCAAACCTATCTACAGTGCTATGAAAACATCATCAATTCCATTAATGGTAAGCAATTGTGGCTGGAAGTGAATACTCTCCTTTTACAACCATCGGATCGGGTTGTGGCAAAGAGAGGAAGGAAGCAGAAAAAGCGAAGAAGGCAGCAAGAGGAAGATGTAATTACTCGCTCCATTTCAACTTCAAGAATGAAGAAAAAAGGCACAACAAAGATGACTTGTGGTGTATGTGGTTTAACTGGCTACAACAAGTGCTACCATGATAAGATAGATGCATCAATTGAGGTTTCTTTCTTTTACTATGAAATTAGCATGTTCTGAAGTTGTGTAGTTGAAATTATGCTTTTAACTATGTTTCCTTATTTTAGAATTGGCATGGAAATGATCTCAATCACATAAATCAAGATAGAGCTAGCCAAGTTGAAAGTCAGAGTTCAAGGGTAATTTTTTCGATTTTCTTAATCTATGGTGACAACTGATTTCGTATTTATGAGTCTTAACATTTTTCTAACATAGGCTAACCTGGCACCTCGAAGAGTAAAATGGAATCCAACAAATGAAGTGCAACAAAATCCTCCAATAGATGGATACATTTTCATGCCCACACCTGGACTGGGGTCACAAGTGATGCACAATCTAACAATAATGGTCCTTTCCCCTACTATATTAAGGCAAACTGAAAGAGGGTCGATAGGGTAAAGCACACAAGAGTGGTCATGGAAGTTTTTGGCAATGAACTATCTTTGGCAGTAGTTTAGTGCATTAAAGAGGTTGAAGTATGTTTTTGAAATGTAGTTTAACCATCTTGTATTAATGTATTTTGAACAAATGGTTATATTCCAGTAGTTTACTGGTTTATATTAGTCATTTTAAGAATGAATGAATGGTTATATTCCAGCAGTGTATTTTGAGAATGAATGAATGGACAATTATCCGAATTTGCCAAGCCGATTTCTGGTGCATCAGTAACTGATTTGGACTCATTCTTTAATCAATAGCTTCATATAATTTTGGTGCATTGTTCCAGCAATGTATTCTTTAATCAATACACTCATGCACTCATCCATTCTCAATTTTGGTGCATTAGTAAACTGATTACATTCTCTGGCAGTGAACTATGATTTCTGGTGCATTACATTCTCAATCTGGTGCATCACAAGTTGCCCTTCCATGAACTCAGCCACAAAAAAAGTAAACAAACCAAATTATAAAAAGATTCATTCATTCAATAATACATACATAAAACGAAGTTACAACAGACAACTACATAAACACATTTTCTACCCCTACTCCATTGATCAAGATACATATACATACACACACACATTTTCACCTCTACTCCATTTTCAACCAATTACCTATACGCATTTTCACACCTACTCCATTTTCTATTAGATATTTTTTTATCATTTTGCATGTATTTATTTTTTGTTTTGCGAATGATTTGCCGCCCCGACTAGTGTTTGCCGTTGCGTAATGGGGATCAACCTGTTCATTTTTTAATAGGTGCATCTGTTCATTTTTTAACAGTCACTTTTAACAGATGTGTTCTTCATTTCAAGGGACACACCTATTCAAACGGTTGCCTCAATTTCTATAAATTCTGGGCGAATTCTCGTTTACAAAATACATTAAAAAATTATTCTTCTCTCTTTCTCTTGGCATCATTAGTTTTTTTTCGAGTGTCTTCTTGGTTTGATCAAATAGTTACAATTTGAATCAAACGCCTCCATTGTATCCTGAGAGAGATTTTTTTATCATGCCCCAGTTGTGACTTTGTGGGATAGGGGAGAAATATCTCTTAAAAGATAACTTTTTCGTGCCTTGGAGTTCATTAAGTTTTTCAGATTTCCCTACATTTTTCTCAACAGTTTTAAGAGATGTCTTCGTTTCAAGATCTGACAGTAAATGAATCTGTAGCACCCTCAATTCAAGCCATGAATCAAGATTTGGCTCGTCTTGATCGGTTTGATGGACATAACTTTACACGTTGGCAGGAGAAGGTTTTATTCTTCTTGATAGCAATCAAACTATCCTACATTCTGAGTGATGATCTCGCATCTATTCCAGAAGAAAAAACAGATAATTCAGATGAACGCAAGAAGGAATTACAGGATCAGCGGAAGAAATGGAAGGATGATGATTTTCTGTGTAGAGGCCATATTCTGAATGCACTATCAGATTCTGTTTACAGCGCACACAGGACTATCGGAACAGCAAAAAAATTGTGGCCGGCATTGGACAACAAGTATCGTATTGAAGAGGCAAGCAACAAGAAATTCTTGATCGGTAATTACTATGATTTCAAGATGATGGATAGTAAGTCTGTTCTTGCCCAGGTACATGAATTACAACTTATTGTTAGTAATCTTAAGAATGCTGAAATTGTCTTGCCTGATGCATTTCAAGTTGAAGCCATTATTGCAAAATTGCCAAGTTCATGGAATGGCTATAAAAAGAAACTCCAACATGATGAAACCAAGCATACCCTGGAATCCCTCATGCGTCATTTGCGTATTGAGGAAGACTCTAGTAAATGAAAGAATAATGATCAAGCAGCAAAAAAGGCAAACATGGTTCAAGGAAATCATAAGAGTAATAAGAAGCGTAAAAACTCCAGTTCTAAGGAAGATTATGCAGAAACCTCTAAGAAAAAAATTCAAGGGGGATTGTTTCTACTGCAAGAAATCTGCTCATATTTCTCGTGAATGTCGACATCGAATAAAAGACGAGAAGGCAAAGAACGAAAAGACAAAGAAGGATCAAGTAAATGTGATTGATGGAAATCATGATCCAAACCTTGTTGCTGTGGTGGAAGAAGCCAACTCAGTCGGATTTGAAGTAGGATGGTGGCTGGATACCGGAGCTACAATTCATGTAAGTAATGACAAATCTCAGTTCAAGACTTACAAAGAATGTACCGATGGAAGAGAAGTAAAAATGGGTAACAATGTTCGTACCAAAGTTGTTGGAATTGGATCAGTTGAACTGAAATTCACTTCGGGAAAGAATCTGACTTTGGCAGAAGTTCTCCATGTGCCTGAAATGACCAAGAACCTGATTTCTGGGGATTGCCTTAACAAGGTATGTTTTAAGCTTGTAATTGAGTCTGATAGCCTTATAGTATCTAAGAATAATGTATTTGTCGGAAAAGGTTACTCATGCAATGGTATGTTCAAAATGAATCTAATAAATGATAACTTTGCTTATACTGTTAATTCTTTACCTTTATGACATGCTAGATTAGGTCACATAAATTATAAATCCATTAAGAACATGCATAATTTAGGAATTATTCCTAAATGTAAGTTTGATGATGTTAACAAATGTGATATATGTGTTCAAGGTAAAATAACGTGTAAACCACATAAATCTATTATGTGAACATCTGAATTACTTGGTCTTATACATTCTGATGTGGCTAATCTGCATAGTAAAGTTTCAAATGGAGGGAACAAGTACTTTGTGACCTTTATAGATGATTTTTCGAAATATGCTTATGTATACTTACTAAAAAGTAAAGATGAAATTTTAAGCAAATTTCTTATTTATAAAGTAGTAGTGGAAAATCAATTAAACTGAAAAATTAAAGTCCTACGTTCTGATAGAGGAGGTGAATACCAAGTAGTAGAATTAGCAAAATTCTGTGAAACTAATGGTATAGTTCACGAGTTTACTCCACCATATTCGCCAGAATCAAACGGAGTAGCAGAAAGGAAAAATAGGACTTTAGTTGAAATGGTGAGTTGTATGCTTATTAGTTCTGGTTTACCTGATCAATGGTAGGATGAAGCAATCTTAAGTGCATGTTATACTCTAAATAGGATTCCTATGAAGAAGATTAAAAAAACTCCATATGAGTTGTGGTTCAACCGAAAACCTAATATTAGCCGTCTCAAGGTGTGGGGATGTCTCGCTTATGTGAGAAAACCAAATCCAGAGATCACTAAATTAGGAAGTAAACCTTATAAATGTGTATTCATAGGCTATGCAAAAAATAGTACTGCTTATAGGTTTCTGAAGTTAGAATCCAATGATGTTATCGAATCAATTGATGCTGAATTTTTTGAAAATATATACAAGTCTTCAACTATAAAAACTGAAGATAATACTACTTCTAGTTCTTCTAAGAGAGTTCATGAAGAATCTCTTGATGATACTTCTGTTGAACCACAATCAGAAATAGAACCTAGAAGGAGTAAGAGACAAAGGAAAGAAAAATCTTTCGGATATGAATTTGTGACTTATTTGCTAGAAGGTGATGTAAATAATATTACACATCAGACTAAGCTAATGCTCAATGATGATAGTGATCCTGTTACATATTCAGAAGCTATTTCCTCTCGAGATGCTGTACTTTGGAAAGAAGCAATCAATGATGAAATGAGATCCACTATGTCAAATCAAACATGGAAACTAGTTGATTTACCTCGTGATTCTTAACTAATAGGTTGTAAATGGATTTTCAAGAGAAAATTAAATGCAGATGGCTCTATAAATAAGTATAAAGCTTGATTAGTAGCTAAAGGTTTTAAACAACATCATGGCATAAATTATTTTGATACTTATGCTCCTGTAGCAAGGATATCTTCCATCCGTGTGTTGATATCTCTTGGTTCAACTCACAATTTAGTTATCCATCAAATGGATGTAAAAACGGCTTTTCTAAACGGTGATTTGGAGGAAGAAGTATATATGGAGCAACCCGAGGGTTTTGTTTTACCTGGACAAGAAAAGAAGTTTTGTAAACTAGTCAAGTCTCTTTATGGTTTAAAACAAGCCCCTATGCAATGACATGAAAAGTTTAATAAAGTAATGTTGTCTAACGGTTTCAAGGTTAATGAAGCAGATAAATGTATCTATTCTACATGTAGAAATGGTGCATGTATTCTTATTTGCTTTGTATGTTGATGACATGCTTATTTTTGGTCCTAACTTAGAAAGTGTTAAGGAGACCAAACAATTGCTAGAGTCTAACTTCGACATGAAGGATTTAGGCGAAGCAAATGTGATCTTAGGGATTAAAATAATAAGAAAAGATGGATGCATATTGCTGAATCAATCTCATTATATTGAAAATATCCTTAAAAGATATGGTCATATGCGTTATAAACCCGCATCAACTCCGATAGATCCTAGTATTAATTTAATGAAAAATACTGGTAGATCTTATGACCAACTACAATATGCAAGTGTGATTGGAAGTCTTATGTATGCTATGCATTGCACAAGACCAGATATTGCATATGCAATTGGCATATTGTGTCGATTCACTAGTAATCCAGGAAAAGAACATTGGAATACGGTTTCAAGAATTCTAAGATACTTGAAAGGAACTATTGATTATGGATTACATTATCGTGGATTTCCCGCTGTACTTGAAGGATACAGCGATGCAAGTTGGAACAACATAGAATCGAATTCTAAATCTACAACAGGTTGGATTTTTACTTTAGGAGGTGCAACTGTTTCTTGGTGTTCTATGAAACAAACATGCGTCTTAGATTCGACTATGTTAGCAGAATTTATTGCTTTGGCTGATGCAAATAAAGAAGTTGAATGGCTAAGAAATTTGCTAATAGATATTCCATTATGGGAGAAACCATCTCCAGCTGTGATGATCTATTGTGATAGTAAAGTTACTTTGTATTTGTTAGCAAACAAGACTTCCAATGGTAAGCAACGACATCTCAGTATTAGACATCAGTCTCTTCGAGGATTACTTAAGCAAGGAGTAATCACCGTTAAATATGTAGAGTCGAAGAATAACCTAGCAGATCCTTTGACAAAAGGATTGGCTAGAGAGATGATTGCGAAAACATCGAAAGGAATGGGATTGAGGTTTATGTAACTTCAGTTAGCTTTAATGGGAACCCTACTTATGTTTTGAAATATAAACAAAGTTCAAAGGGTACAAACAAGTTAAAGTCTAACTTAGACGATACACTAGAGTATTAGTTCAAACCCATTCATAAAATCTCTAGTGTATGTATTCTGTATGGTTGAGGATGGATTTAATTCCTTAATAAGTTCTACTGAGAGAGAAAGTAACTCACTTAATTACTTTATAAAGAACTTACCTATGTGAGTGAGAAAGTCAGGCCATTTTCTATGAGATTTAGACCGTCTCTAAAGCACTCATGAAATTCGGGATATACGCAAGGCCATTAATGCGTTGGTATAAAAGAGACACTCCTTTTTATGGGAATAGTATGTGTAATGACTCCGGCTAGTCATGATAGGGTCCTTGATTCAAGATTCATTTACCATAGCACCTTGACAAAACTTTGAGTTGTTTACACTAAGTGAAAGTTCAAAGTCAAAAGCTACTTTCATTTATGTACGATTTCCTACGATGATGCCTTTTGTGTGTGTTTGCATGAACTACGGTGGCTTGATCCCGTTAAGGGTACGTAGGCAATCAATTTTTATGATGCAGCCGCTTCATCTTTTCTAAATCAAAATTTTGAAAAATAGGGAGGATATGTTAGATATTTTTCATCATTTTGTATGTATTTATTTTTTGTTTTGCGAATGATTTGCCACCCCGACTAATGTTTGCCGCTGCGAAAGAGAATTTTATTTTCAAAAGTCTTTGAATAGGTGCATCTGTTCGTTTTTT